TATATATATATATATATATATATATGCAATATGCCAGTTGAAAAAAAATAGAGATTATCAGTGAGTGAATAAATGATTAAAAACAGGCTGCTGAGGTCCAGAGCTCAGTCTGGATGGCTGAGCTTGTCAGGAATCATGCACTTCCAAGGTAAATAGCAACTGTCCCATTAACATCTTTCAGCTGCCTCTCAAGGGCATATGAGATTGGCCAATATCATGAATTCAGAAGAACAGGAAGAAAAAGCCTACACCTTGGAGCACAGCTGCATCTGAATTCTTTGCACGGCTGTGCGCAAACAAACAAACAAACAATTTAGGGCTTCACTCTTAACTGGCATAAGGATTCTAATATAGCCATGTCACACTTTAGAGTTTTCTGCCAAATCAAGCCAAGTGTTTAATAAGGGTGAAGTGTCTGGAATGCTGTGAGTTCCTGCCGAGTCTGATGCAAAAATTGGTAATGTACATGATATAGAAGTTATGGTGCAGCTCAGATCTGGGATGGAAAATAAATGTTTGGCCCTATACCATAAAAGGCTTGTTGAATGGACTACATCAGGGGTGTCAAACTCACGACAACACATTTCCCCTTCATTAAACCAGGGGTGGGCATGGCCGGTGTATTACACATCTGGCTCGCGGCCCTGGAGTTTGACACCCCTGGACTACATTCTCAATCCATTTTGGGGACAAAATGATCCCCCAAAGCTCCCCAAAAAGTCTGCTCCCACCATCTCAAGAATGCAGTGTGGAACATAGACGATCACTCACTGTAAAAGTTCAGAGTTTATCTTGCAAAAAACTGTTTTGATCTCAGGCTTAATGCCTGCTAAAATAGCAGTGGTACAATGAAGCTGGAAATAATTTCATTTTAATCATTCACAAAGGAGGAAGGTTGTTTTTTTAAAAAAACAACAACCATATTTTCAGTATTATTTACTCTAATTTACATTAATACATACTTTTCTCTAAAAAAAACACTATTGTTGCCTACAGAGTTTCAACTGTGGCATGTTTGCAGGCCTTGCTGTTCCTTGACAGGTGTGCTTTCACTATCCTGGTTTATGTGGTGACTTTCATTCCATTTATTTATTTATTCATTTGTTTGTTTGTTTGTTTCTTTATTACTAAATTTATACACCACCTCCCTCCCTATCCAAAGCTATCTATGTACTTCATTGAGTTCCATATAGTCCTTCATGGAACCCTTATGAAGCTTTGGCACACCCTTCCCAGCATAGGTTCAGAAACAGTGAAGAAGTGGAAAACTTGGGGATGACCAGGAATTAATTCAACCCTTAAAACACAGCTTGCCTACCGAATGTAAATCTTTTCTCCTTGCTTAAATTTCACAGATACACTGGATTGTTCTACATATCCTCAGTTCACATTTGATCTAAGATGAATCCTGAGCCTCTGCTATTAACATGTACTCTGGAATGCTTTCCAGACTCATCCATATGATGTCTGAGTTCTTTTGGAAGTTTAGTTGATGATTACTGATCAAATCTCCTAAATATTGACAAGCTATAGCTTCAGGGAAATGCTGATGAAATTGACTACTTACTGGAATGTGACCATTTACCTTCTGAAGCATGACTCAGAGTCAGAAGGGAGTAATCTTTATCCAGTGATTCATTCACTTTAACCATAGGGTTTGGTTTCTTTATCTTGGCAGCATATGTTTGTTTTCATGGAAATAGCCATTCAGGAAGTTTCGATTGGAAAATTGCTCTTTGAGGTAAGTTGCCCAAGGAAAAGACAAACAATCCTTGTTTTTTATCTTGTACATGGAAGCAAATACACTTAGGTTCAAAACTGTTACTTAAACACTTAAGGTCCAATTCCTGATGTAAAATCAACTACACGTTAGAACATGGATGGACGTTAGAGAATGAGTGCTCATCAGAATTATTTGGATGACAATGCAATAGTCTGGTCTCTAGAGCCTAAATTTTGTCGCTTCAGCTTGGTCAAGTATTGGTTTGATCAGTCAGTTTTATTTTAAAATATTTTGTGTCCACTAATGGGTGCAAAGTTGTAAATTTTATAAAATCCATTTTTACATAAGTACTTTAAAAATGCATGTGAAAAGTGTCAACTTAGAATGTCAAACTCCCAGCCCATGAGCTGGATGCATCATGTGCTGCCCACTCCCAGTTTAGCGAAAGGGGGAAAAGTCCCGATATGTCATGTGACGCCACCATGACTATGTGAGTTTGACATCCCTGCCTTAGAAGGTACAATCCCTTCTACCTTGTACAGTATATGTATGCATAGGCATATGTGTAATAAAGAGAAAGGAATGACTTTTGAAGATGCAATGCCTTCTCAGAACATAAAAACAAATATATTTTGATTTAGATTTTTTTCAAATGCAAACTTATGCTTACTTGATGAAATAAATGAAATAAAACTTAAAGGATTTATTAAAGCTGCAATCCAGTAAATTACTGCCAATTCTCCTCAAACCTTTTTGTTTCTCCTTTAACATGTTTAGCATTATACCATAAGAGTTTTCCAATCAAGCAGTTCATTCTCTATCTATCTATCTATCTATCTATCTATCTATCTATCTATCTATCTATCTATCTATCTATCTATCTATCTATCTATCTATCTATCTATCTATCTATCTATCTCTGTATGCATGCATATTGAATTTCTGCATTGTGTCCTTGTGAACATTCCCAAATGATTCACAGTAAATGTAAAATAAGCTATTGCAACATGCAAATAATAAAATTAATAAGTTATCATAACACCATGGAAAATAGATCTGTGCATTCCCTCTCTTAAAACATAAACCAAAAGCTCTTTAGAAGAAAAGGAGTTTAAAAAACCTCCTGAAACATAACTGAAACATTGACAGGAGAACCCCTTGGCAAGGGACAGGTGTTCCAAAAGAGAGGCAACACCTTTGCCAAGGGCGGTTAGCGTTATTGCTGTATTGGTCAGTTGAGATGGGTGAAATGATAGTGAGCAGTTGAACTGAGGCAGAAAAGTAATTCTATGGCACCATAAAATAATAGAACAGATAACAGTAGGAGGCCATGCTCAAGACCTCAATCTCTTAATCATGTTTCTTTGTTCCTGTTTTAAAATGCATTGTCTTTTCTCATGAGGATAAAACACTCATTTTAAAAAGATATCACAATCTTTGATTAAAAAAATCTGGAATATACATAATTAATTGTGATCCTTTGATCTCATAAATTAATGTAATGTTTCTTTTCCTACTGACCTCAGGAACTGAGCTTCTGAAATTTTCCATATTCTTCTATTGTCCAGCTCTATTCTGATATCTGCCCCAGAACATGCCATAATTTCAAGTGTTTATGTACAGGAGAGAAAGAGAACCCTGAGTCTGGACTGGTACTCACTTACAAGAATTCAATTTTTCATCGAATTGTAAAAAATGGCTGGATACAAGGAGGAGGTATGTACTGAAACCTGTTCATGGAGTGAAGCATGGGACAGGTTTGGTATACTATCCAGCATGTGAGAGTGTTCTTCCACCCTATCACCAGAATAAACCCAAACCTTAAGATAAGAATTATATTTTTAGTTAATCACATGTTGGTAAATTAAAAAGCATGGAGGAAAAATAAAACATGGAGCAAATTTTTACACAAAATTTAAAGTTTATATAAATTTATCTGGATGGAAGCCTTTTATTCAGATAGAAGCAAGCCTAAACATAGAATAGTCATTAAGTATATATTTAATAAAGATGTTGTGGGCTTTCTGTTACAACAACATTTGAGAACTTGTGGTCCTCTGACTGCTGTTGAATTATCCTTCCCAGGGACCAAGCAAACATGACCAGTCCTGGATGTCGAGAGTTGTATTTCAGCAACAACTGTAATACTATGAGTTCCCTATATTACAGGATCTGTTAATAATAACTATTAAACTAACTCTTCCCAATATCATGAAATATATAAGGGCTTCTCAAGCGTGGATATGTATGTAAAGTTCTAGACAACCGTTTCACTGAAAGAGAACTATCAGAATCATTTTACAGATAATCTATAAAATAGTCATTTATATATAATTTTGTGCTTCTCCTTTTTCTGATATTTTTCCTAATTTTGCTTCAAGACAAAAATTACAAATCATAATATTATATATGACAGTGCTATTTAAAATTATGTTTTCTGATATCAAAAATAATGTATTATTTTATTTTATTTTTCATAATGCACATAGATATAAATGGTGGAACAGGAACTGGAGGTGAATCCATATATGGACCCGTGTTTGAAGGTAGAAGTATTTTCTTAAACAAAGCTGGTCCTACATAAATAGCAGATATGTGTTTCACACATATCATTGGCAATGATTATATCCTAGATGTAAAAAATAATCTTCTAAGAGAAACAGAATTGAAAGAAATAGTGTAAAATAGAGTTACGGAGATATTGAAGCTCTTACTTTAATCAGTGTAATGCAAATGCCAATCATTTGTATTACAAGTGCCATTTTCCACTTCCCCTTCCTCATAAAAAGGGTCAGGATTGAGCTGAAGAGATTCAGAAGCAGTTTAGAACTCAAATGTTCCAAATTCTCGATAGTTCACAAGGTGTTTGATTTTTGGCCATCATCACCAGGAGAAGTAAAGCTATAAAAAAGGTTGATAAGCATGGAGAGCAATAGAGCATGGAGAGTCCTTCGGGATTGGGCAACCTATAAATCCATTAAATAATAATAATAATAATAATAATAATAATAATAATAATAATAATAATAATAATAATAATAATAATAATAA